ATATATTTTTATATTTATGATGATTTAATTTATTTTTTCATTCTTTGAAAATTTCTATCGTCTCTCGATAAATAAATAAAAAAAAAGTTGTCGTGACGTTACGTATTCTAAATAAACTTGACATTTACCTTTTAGATTCTTTTATAGCGCGGAGTCAAGGTAATGAACAATTATTAATCATTCTTTAACTTTAACATCACTGGAAAAAAAAACGTTGATTTTAAAATTTTTCATTCTTTTTCCGATTAAAGTGGAGTTTTGACTCTAAATTTTAATGACATTTTTCTCTAAACTGTAAACATTTAGATACTTGAGTAACCATAATGTTACTCTGTTTCCAAACTGATCCCCAATTGGAACTTGAATCTTTATATAATTAGGTATTTAAATTACTTTCCGAACTGGTTTCCAAAATAAAACTTAAGTTCTTTCTAAATTATTAGAAGAAATGAAACATTGAATCTTTCTGCAAACTGTTATAAAATCGAGATATGAATCTCTATGCAATTATGTACTTGAATCGTGCACCGAATTGTTTTTTAAATTGTGCTATTCCGATTGGCATTTCAAGTTTAATAACGGGTTTGGGGCATTGAAGCAACTTTTAATGATAGTTAAACATGAGTTTTTTTATTATTTCCATGACACAGTATAAGAAGCGTTATAGAGCAATAATTCGGAATACTTAATATCTTCAAGATAATCAGAAGAATCAAAACCTTTAAAAAATAATGATTCTGGTATGTCTCAATATACTGCCTCGGCCACAACCGCATACCACGACTGTTAAGTTTTATACTTGACATTTTGGACAACCAGTTTTTGAAATTAAACAAGATATAATAAGTTTAGTAGTTTTTTAATATATAGCTGCTCGGCTACTTTTGTATGCAAAAACCATCATGAACTGAGGTCGCTTAACGCAGAATGGTTGCTATCAAAGCTATCCAATACAAAACGCAATTAAGCACCAAACACTTTGGGTAACCAATATGCTCATGCCCATGTCTTTTAAATCTTACAGAAGCAAAATTTGAAATTTTTGGTCTAATTTTAATCATTTTCTGGACAACCCATTGTAGCAAAACTAAAAAGATTTTTGTTTTTAGTGTATCTACACGGCGAACACTGGGCTGAATCTGGAATCTAATTCCAAAAAAATTTACTATTACAGCGAATAATAGTGTGTAAGAAGTTACTTTGAAAACGGTTGATTGCAAATAGAGCACTATACATTAATGTGATCTTGCTTTATATTATCTGTTCGGCGACATGATTGTTTATTTTTTTTTTGAGTGTTAATCTAACCTGTTTAGATACCTTTTAGGAAGACGTTTCAAGCACTGAAAATATCAGATTAAAGAAGGTAAGTTCATACCATTCATTTCATATAAGAGTGTGATTTTGCTTCGTGGAAAATGAAAAATTCTTTACATTTTAAGGCGCAACTTTTTTTCATTAGAGATATAATTAACAATATATTCAAAGAAGGAGGGCCATAATGAATCATAAATTGAGATATAACAAAAATTCTTCAATTAAAACTGATAACACTTTTTCATTTTCGCTTGATTGTTTTTATAAAACTTGGTATTGGTGAATTGGTCGAATCTGGGATCAGAATTAAAACTTTTCAAAAATCAATATGGCAGATAGAAGATAGAGAACTAAAATTGCAAGAGAAAGGATAATTTACATTCATTGGTCATTGATGGCTACATAAAATCCTTTTTTGTAATTCGCGACGGTAATCAAAGCTCTAACAGTACTCAAACGGGTGCTGTAATGAGACTCCTTACAGCATCCGATGCTGTAATGAGATTTTAGTAACATTTTATGGAACCAGTTCAAGTTGGTGACATCGGCTCATTAATTTTTCTAGTTGTCAATGTGACAATTTTTGTCTATGGATGTTTAAACACGTTCTTAGCATCGAATACAAGGTCCACAATGATGACGTTGAACTCGGAGCAATTTCTCTTATTTTGGGAGGTGTACATGAAACATTTTTGTCAGGTGAATACATTTTGTGTTTTGACAGTTTCTAATTGTCAATTCAAATTTCTATTTTCAAGTGTTACGGTGTTACCAACTGCTACATACCTATTTCTCTATATTGTCAAAATTTATTTTATTTTTGAGAAAAAAGAAGGATAAAAACGCGAATTACAAAAAATAGCGTTTCATAAGACTTAAAGCACTCATACATTAAAAAACTCGTTTTTCAACTTGAATTCGTGCATTTTAAACGTGTCTTACGAAACTTGTTTTTTAATATACTATTACAGGGCTCTTTAGCCATCTAACATGCCCTTGTTCCAATAGGGCAGCAAGGAATAAGGATATGAGGCAGTAGGTGTCTTTGCAAACAAAACTCTGCCTACCCTGACCGAAAGAGATCTGCTTAGTTTCTGGGAAAATCAAAAAGTGACTTGAATCTCCTCACCCACTTCCTGACCTAAATTCATGTTCTACATGAAGCTAGCGAATACATCCCTCTGTAGAGGGTGTGAAATGGAAGACGAGACGGTAAGTCATATTGTTTGTGACCGTCCCAACCTCGCGTACTTAAGGGAATCAACCGCTGGAGCCTAAATGGCAAATGTGAAGCTACATACATACAAGGATATGAGGCGATTTAGAGCCCAGCACACTAGAAATTCCTCATATATAAAAACCTGTGAAGACTTAGTTCACATGCTTTTAATACCATCGGATCCTGTTATTACAGGCCTTAGAACTTTCCAGAAAGTCCTATTGATCACGGATTTAGTGGAAGAAGATATGGTAGATACGAGCGAGTCGGATGATGATTCTGATTTTGTATTTTTGTAAAAATAATTCTTCATTTTACTAGAAAATAAATTAGCATCTATTTTATTTTTACATTTTATTTTATACCAATTTTTCCCTAAAAAATATGTGAAAAACTTCAAAATTCTGTTCTGAGAATTAAAACACCTACTTTTTTTCTTCGTATATTTTTTTAAACTACTCTAGAATTTTAGCCCTTGTTAAGTCTATAAAATAATGTTGTCCAGCTAGAATCGGGATTCAGCACAGTGCGCAGCGCAGTCTTCATCTTCGTACAAACTAAAAATCTAACATATTTATTCATATACAGGGTGGTTCAGTTTTTAATCGGGAAACTTTTCTAGGACGTAGTACTTGCCAAAATAAACAAGTTTTTTATATAAACATAGGGTCGCAACTCTTCTGTTTTTGAGCTATGAGCTGTCAAAGTTGAGCCAAAAATTTACATTTTATCTTTTATTTCGGGTATGAGTAAACCATAGAATTTGAAATTTGGTATGTATGTACTACTGGTTAATATCTTATTTTCAACCATACCTTAAACTTCCCTAGCGCCCTCTAAGGAGATGAAATTCAACGCAAATTACGAAAATTAACGCCATGGAATATTAACAAAGAAAAATATGGGTTGTAAAGCTTATTCATTACTAGTACTTTTTTCTCTCTTTAGTTTTTTCCTTAAAAATAATAGTTTTAACGTAAAAAAATAAAATATGCTACATTGTACTGTAAAGCGCTGCTATTATTAAAAGAAATTTTTCTTTATAGGTGGCTATGGAAGTTGTGCACTTACTAGGATCTAGTACTAACTAAATAACACCAATTAATTGTGATTTTCATAAGAAAAACCATAAATAAGATTAATGCCTGTCTGAACAAATTACGTTGTTTTAAACAATATTAAAAAATTGATACTCTGGCTTAATAACCGTCAAAAATTATTAATAACCAGCAATAATTATGAGGATTCACTGTAAATGAAACTTACAAGTTCTCAGAGCAAACTTTTAGAATAATTTTGGCTAAACATGGCGGCACATAGCAGTGCATGGCACGATATTTTATTTTTTTACACGGAAACTATTAACTTTAAGGAAAATACTAAAGAGACAAAAAAGTACCACTAAAGAGTGAGCTNTAAGTTAATTAAAGGTAATTAAGTAACACACGACTTATTGTTAGCACAAAATTCAAAATTAAGTTTGACAGTAATTAACTATATTTACTTTGTTTATTCCGGTATCCTAGCAACGCGATCACTTAATAGACAACCTAAGCCTTGACGTAACAGAGATGGGCGGAGCTTATATCGACTCCAAACATTTTCATAGCTAAGTGTGTTGCTAACGGTAAATCACCATATGCAATTTTTCAATTAGTGTTAAAATAAAATAAACTAAGTGACTTTTTATGACATTTTTATTACGGTTTATCATTAGCAACTGTGGTTAGCAACGAAATTGTTTGGAGTCGATATAAGCTCCGCCCATCTCTGTGACGTCAGGTTAGGCAGTCTATTTATCATTGCCTACTTATAAAATAATGTATTTTATTCAATTTCGAGGTTAATAAATTATAAAGGTAAGTATAGAGTATTATATATCATTGAAAAGCTTGAAAAAAATCCAGTTCAATAAAAAAATAAAATATAGGTGGTTCCATTTAAAAAAACCTAAGTTGTGTTTATAACTTAAAAACCGTGATGACTAGAAAAATTCTACGTGCACCATTGGATTCTCCGTGAAAAAATCTATTAGAACCCGTTTTTACGTTTTTATTAAGTTTCCGGATAGCCGAGATACGGGAGGTGTCTGAAAATCGTAAATTTTGAAATACTCCCTGTATATCAAAAACGAAGAGGTCTATGAAAATTTGGTTTGCGGCATTGTAAGTTTCACAAAAAAGTAGCTCAGGTTCGCGAAAACCGCAACTTTCTATCTTTCATAATAACTGAGATATCCTGCAAACCCATCGAAATTTGGACACCCTGTACATAATTCAGAAAAAAATCCTCTTTTAAATTCGGATATAAAAAGTGGGGTCTTCGATTTAAAAAGATCTTCGATGACGTCATAACTCGTTTAAAAATGGCGGAAAAAAATTAAATCTTTAGACCCGTTTCAGCGATTCGATAAGAATTTATTCGTTACTTTTGAAACGCACTGTATACTATTATAACTTTTTTATTTTTATTTTTATCTGTTTAGCAAAAGACAAAAAACGAGAAGATTTAGTACGGTTAGGAATTTACGAATCAATAGGTTCTGACTTGCATTATTACTTCATTGAAAATATCATAAGAAGAAAAATGACCGAACAGATATTAACAGAACGTCCAGAAGTTCGTTTGGATTTTAACAAATTAAAACAGAGAGCGCTCGATTTACATGCGAAAATCGATGAGATGACGAACCATAAAAAAAACGCTTATCATTTAATAAAAGAATTAAAAAGTATCGACCACCAAATCAATAATTTTGCTCAAGATTATTTCCAAGATGCCCACTATTGGAACACCTTCCATAAAATTCGCAAAGACATTTTAATGCGTCGAAACATTATTTGCACAACGTTAAATAGTTGCTTTCGTTTAGGGGAGTACGGTTTAAATATAGATTGTTGTATAATTGATGAGGCTAGTCAAAGTAAAGAAACGGAAACTTTAATACCTTTAAGTTTGGGCATTGAAAAAATTGTTTTAATTGGAGATCCAAAACAATTACCGGCCGTAACACTCAGCAAAGTAGGTATTTTTAATTCTCATTATTAATTAATTAATTTAAATTTTATTTTTAGTACGCAAAAGATTTAGGATATGGTCAATCACTTATGTCGCGATTAAAAAAAGCTTTTATATCCGAAACGAAGCAACCAATAACAATGCTTGATTTACAATTTCGAATGCATCCGGAAATTTGTTTATATCCCAGTGAAACTTTTTATGAAGGAATGTTAAAAACGGCATCGATTTGTAATAAACGCGGTGGTTTAGATGGATTGGCTCCTTATTATGTTTTAAATATAAACAAGAATCATCCAGCTAATGAGCGATTAGAAAACGGTTATTATAACGAAACCGAAATTAATTGCGTTGTTAAATTATTAAAGGCAATAAACGATACTATCGGTCATAAAACCGATAAATTTTATACAGTTGGAGTCATAACGCCTTATAATAATCAACGTAAAGATTTATTGGTGGAAATTAAAAAACTAAGGATGCCAAGTATACAAATTACTGTGAATACAGTCGATAGTTTTCAAGGATCAGAAAAAGATATTATTATATTATCCTGTGTTCGACTGAGAGCGAATTCATTTTTAAATGACGAACAACGTTTAAATGTTTCTATAACAAGAGCTAGAAGAGTTCTTTATGTTGTTGGCACAAATCCGTTATTTGATGTAAGATTTTTTTTATTTTAATTTTCTTGTATTTTTATAAAATTGCGGGTTAACGCCATCTTTTAAAATCTATTAAAACTTAAAATTAATTAATATACAAAAATATATTTCCATAGAAACAAAGACAAATCTACTTAAATTGTCTCACGTAAAATGCAATATCACTATGTTCCATATTTTTATTGAACTAAAACTAGAACCGACCTAAACTAGAAATATTGAAAGAGTTGAAAACGGCTAAGAAAAAAACTTTCAGGTGTTAATGTCAACTTTAATTTTATTATTATATTCGTAATCCTTATAAAATAACCTTTAAAATGAGTCCAAACATGACGCACTTATCTCAAAAAACAAAAAAGTTAGAATAAAAAACATTAAACCCGAAGTTAGCAACAATGAGTAGTAATACCAACCTTAATTTTTTGTTTTTTTTAATTATATTTTCGTTTTTGTGGCAAATTTTAAGACATTTTATAAAAATTAAGAATATATCAAAATGACGTTGACATTTCTAACGGAAGTTGACCATAACTTCATTAATATTGAAGATAAATATGTCGTGTTTGTATTCATTTTAAAGGTTTTTTAATGAAGATTACAAATATGTCAAAATTGAGGTTGACATTCTTAACCGGAAGTTGACCATAACTTCATTAATATTGAAGATAAATATGTCGTGTTTGTATTCATTTTAAAGGTTTTTTAATGAAGATTACAAATATGTCAAAATTGAGGTTGACATTCTTAACCGGAAGTTGACCATAACTTCATTAATATTGAAGATAAATATGTCGTGTTTGTATTCATTTTAAAGGTTTTTTAATGAAGATTACAAATATGTCAAAATTGAGGTTGACTACCAATTGTTGTCTGCATACCGTGAAGTCAGATAAACTTACTATCATGCTCTGTTCAGTCTAGTTAGTTCTGGGTCCTATAACAAACCTTAAACCTGGTGCAGAAAGGCCACAAATGAATAATGTTGAGAAAAACGGGATTTTCGTGTTCATCTATCAAACTATTGAAAATTGTTTGGTGCCTGTCCATTTTTATCACGATTATACAGGATGTTTCTGTAAGTCGTGGCATAAATTTAGTTACTAAAACTAGTGATAAAATGATGACGATTCGTGTAAAAATTTTTGAAGAAAATAATCTAAAATTTGATTTTGTACTTTTAAACTGGTTTTTATTTTATATAGAATTTAAGTCTAACCAGTTTCGGCCCTTGGTCATCTTCAGAGACTCTACAAGTAGATTAACATTTCTCATTTTCTCCATTTTACAAACGANATTTCATGATGTAATCTTCTAGGTCTAGTGTTAGTTCTAGTAATACACTAGCATTATTACTAGAAGTAACACAAAACCTAGAACTAGAATCATTCAGGTTTAGCTGTCTTGAGAGACGTGCGACTAAACCCGAATGTTTCTAGTTCTAGATCTAATATTAATTCTAGTGACAGTGGTAGGTAGCGCTAGTTAAATATAAGATATCACTATGTTCCATATTTTTATTGAACTAAAACTAGAACTGATACTAGACCTAGAAGTAGAAATGTTTCAATATTTCGATGCAAGGCTAAGAAAAAAACTTTCAGGTGTTAATGTCAACTTTAATTTTATTATTATATTCGTAATCTCTATAAAATAACCTTTAAAATGAGTCCAAACATGACGCACTTATCTCAAAAAACAAAAAAGTTTGAAGAAAACACATTAAACCTGAAGTTAGCAACAATGAAGATAGCAATTTAATTTTTAAATATGAATACCAACCTTAATTTTTGATTTTTTTTATTATATTTTCGTTTTTGTGACAAATTTTAAGACATTTTATAAAAATTAAGAATATATCAAAATGACGTCGACATTTCAAACCGGAAGTTGCTTATATCTCGAGTAATAATGGAATTAAACGTATCATATTTTGGGCTGATTTTAAAAGATTTTTTTCGCGACGATTACAAATATGCCAAAATTGACGTTGACGTTTCTAACCGGAAGTTGACCATAACTTCATTAATATTGAAGATAAATATGTCGTGTTTGTATTCATTTTAAAGGTTTTTTAATGAAGATTACAAATATGTTAAAATTGGGGTTGACATGTTAAACTTGAAGTTAGTTGTCATATAATAGTGAAATGGACAACTTAATGGTGTTATTTCATGATGTAATCTTTATTAAAAAACCTTTAAAATGAATCCAAACATGATACATTTTTCTCAAAACACAAAAAAGAGAATAAAAATATCGACCTTGAATGTTTTTTGTTCTAGATCTAATGTTAGTTTTACTGACAGTTGTAGGTAGCGCTAGTTGACATAAGATATCACTATGTTGCTTGAAATATTGAAAGAGTTTCGACGCAAGGCTAAGAAAAAAACTTTTAGGTGTTAATGTCAACTTTAATTTTATTATTATATTCGCAATCCTTATAAAATAACCTTTAAAATGAGTCCAAACATGACGTACTTATCTCAAAAAACAAAAAAATTAGAATAAAAAACATTAAACCCGAAGTTAGCAACAATGAAGATAGCAATTTAATTTTTAAATATTAATACCAACCTTAATTTTTGATTTTTTCTAATGATATTTTCGTTTTTGTGGCAAATTTGAAGACATTTTATAAAAATTAAGAATATATCAAAATGACGTTGACAGTTCAAACCGGAAGTTGCTTATATCTCGAGTAATATTGGAATTAAACGTATCATATTTTGGGCTGATTTTAAAAGATTTGTTCACGACGATTACAAATATGTCAAAATTGACGTTGACATTTCTAACCGGAAGTTGACCATAACTTCATTAATATTGAAGATAAATATGTCGTGTTTGTATTCATTTTAAAGGTTTTTTAATGAAGATTGCAAATATGTCAAAACTGAGGTTGACATGTTAAACTTGAAGTTAGTTGTCATATAATAGTGAAATGGACAACTTAATGGTGTTATTTCATGATGTGATCTTTATTAAAAAAACCTTTAAAATGAATCCAAACATGATACATTTTTCTCAAAACACAAAAAAGAGAATAAAAAACATCGACCTTGAATGTTTTTTGTTCTAGATCTAATGTTAGTTTTACTGACAGTTGTAGGTAGCGCTAGTTGACATAAGATATCACTATGTTGCATATTTTTATTGCACTAAAACTAGAGCTAACCCTAGAGCTTGAAATATTGAAAGAGTTTCGACGCAAGGCTAAGAAAAAAACTTTTAGGTGTTAATGTCAACTTTAATTTTATTATTATATTCATAATCCTTATAAAATAACCTTTAAAATGAGTCCAAACATGACGCACTTATCTCAAAAAACAAAAAAGTTTGAAAAAAACACATTAAACCTGAAGTTAGCAACAATGAAGATAGCAATTTAATTTTTAAATATGAATACCAACCTTAATTTTTGATTTTTTTTTATTATATTTTCGTTTTTGTGGCAAATTTGAAGATATTTTATAAAAATTAAGAATATATCAAAATGACTTTGACATTTCAAACCGGAAGTTGCTTATATCTCGAGTAATATTGGAATTAAACGTATCATATTTTGGGTTGATTTTAAAAGATTTGTTCACGACGATTACAAATATGTCAAAATTGACGTTGACATTTCTAACCGGAAGTTGACTATAACTTCATTAATATTGAAGATAAATGTGTCGTGTTTGTATTCATTTTAAAGGTTTTTTAATGAAGATTACAAATATGTCAAAATTGAGGTTGACTACCAATTGTTGTCTGCAAAAATTGTTGAAGTCAGACAAACTTACTATCATGCTCTGTTAAGTCTAGTTAGTTCTGAGTCCTATAGCAAACCTTAAACCTGGTGCAGAAAGGCCACAAATGAATAATGTTGAGAAAAACGGGATTTTCGTTTTCATCTCCCTAAAAATATAAGACTTCTCAGAATAGTCAGGGTCAAACTATTGAAAATTGTTTGGTGCCTGTCCATTTTTATCACGATTATACAGGATGTTTCTGTAAGTCGTGGCATAAATTTAGTCACTAAAACTAGAGATAAAATGATGACGATTCGTGTAAAAATTTTTGAAGAAAATAATCTAGAGTTTGATTTTGTACTTTTAAACTGGTTTTTATTTTATATATAGAATTTAAGTCTAACCAGTTTCGGCCCTTGGTCATCTTCAGAGACTCTACAAGTAGATTAACATTTCTCATTTTCTCCATTTTACAAACGAATTTCTTTAAATATTTATTATATTTATTATGTTTTTTAAATATTTCTTAATATTTCTTTTTGTTTTGTTAAAAAAGATCACATATCAAAGTCGAAATTAGATTATTAGTTACTAATTTACACAATTAAAGATTAAAAAGTTGTAAAATGAAATTAAGGACGAAGTGTTACAAGTTTACAGGTTAAAATTTAAGAACGCTCTTTTTTTAACAAAAGAAATATTAAGAAACTTGGGAAAAATTCAAGAATCATCATGTGGCTTAAAAATCGACGATTTTTTTTTAATCAATGTGAAATGACCCAAAAAACGCGTTAAAAATAAAAAGAAAGTGCGGAAAAGTGACTAACACTAGATTAACTTCAATTATAAAACTTCTATGATATGATAACTAACTTCAGGTTTAAAACGTCAACCTCAATTTTGACATATTTGTAATCTTCATTAAAAATCCTTTAAAATGAGTACAAACACGACATATTTCTCTTCAATATTAATGAAGTTATGGTCAACTTCCGGTTAAGAATGTCAACGTCAATTTTGACATATTTGTAATCGTCGTGAAAAATCCTTTAAAATGAGTCCAAACATGATACGTTTAATTCCAATATTACTCGAGATATAAGCAACTTCCGGTTTGAAATGTCAATGTCATTTTGACATATTCTTAATTTTTATAAAATGTCTTAATATTTGTCACAAAAACAAAAATATAATAAAAAAAAATAAAAAATTAAGGTTGGTATTAATATTTAAAAATTAAATTGCTATCTTCATTGTTGCTAACTTCGGGTTTAATGTTTTTTATTCTAACTTTTTTGTTTTTTGAGATAAGTGCGTCATGTTTGGACTCATTTTAAAGGTTTTTTAATGAAGATGACAAATATGTCAAAATTGACGTTGACGTTTCGAACCGGAAGTGATTGTATCTCCATTAATATCAAAGTTAAATATGTCGAGTTTGGACTCATTTTAAAGGATTTTATATGAAGTTGACAAATATGTCAAAATTAAAAGTTGAAATTTCGAACTTTTTTTTTCACGACTAAACCCGAATGTTTCTAGTTTTCGTTCTAGTTTTAGTGCAATAATAATTTGCAACATAGTGATATGTTATGCTGGAGATGGGAGATGTTAATCTATTTGTAGAGTCAAATAAAAAACATAAACTTTTAATTTTATACTAACATCTAGAAAAAGACACTGGCCCGAAATTGTAGGTTCATCTATTTTTTCTATTGTATAATTTCTTGCTGTATCTAAGTCGGTTCTTCGACGTATGATACAAATCGGACTTGAAATCGTATAACGTGATTGGCGCTTATCCTTTAAAACAAAATAGTATTTTAAGTCTATCGGTATTCTGCATTTTTTCTAAGATAAGTTGCACTTTTACCTACCAGACAGCATGAAAATCTCTAAAAACGATAAAATGTTGCTTAGTCAAGTGCTGTATAACGCGGTCCAATTATAGATACCTTACGATTTCAAAGGTGTTCTTCTCGGTCGCCCAAAATAAGTTGATAGCAAAGAAAAACCAGTTTTAAATGACAAATCAAATATGCTGTTAGAAACATATCCAGCTTAAAGTAGCTACCAAAAAAAATTTGAGCTTTAGAGCATTTTGACAAAATTTTCCTCAATGATTACTTGGACTAAAAAGAACGCAATGGACAAAGTCTCATTTAGTTAGAACTAGTCAATGTTGGATAACCCGCACTTTTATAATAATTTTTTTAAACCACACTCGAGTTAATCAATTGTAACAACTTTATAACTTAACCAGGATATAATTGATTAACTTGAATGCTTCTACATTTTTGTATCATATACTTGATTACATTGGAATAATCAAACTTTTTTTGCAGACTTGTTCAACGTTAAAAAATTTAAAAGAAAATGCCAAAACCAGAAATTTATACTTGAACTTATCGGATGTAAGCGAAACGATTTTAAAAAGTATCATTGTGAGACGGCCCCAATAATGCCATAAACATACCTTGTATTATAATTTTAAATTAAGTTTATTCGGTAATATTTTTCGAAGTAAGTACTAATTTATTTTTTCATTTTGATGTAATATACATATATGTACAGGGTGAATCAAACAATACTTTTCAAAATGAAATATGATTCGCATTAAAAAAATTTTTTGTTGATTTTTTGTATTACCTATTTATTAATATTTTTTTATAGTATCTTTGACTCACTCTGTTAATAATAAAAATACATTTTTTGTTATATTTTTCAAACATCTTTTTTTTTAAAACCTTTTTAATATATGAGCTGTGTAACTGCAAAACTCACATTCTCTCTTCAACAATTGGTATTCCTAGTTTTTGTGTGTACTATTAGTTTCTGTGTGTGCTATTAATTCTTTCTGCAATAAATACATGGTTTTGAGCTGTAAAGCTAGAAAACCTAAAAGAAGTCCAAGTATGTGGAAACCAGAAGGTTTGTTGGAGGTTATGACGTATTATTTACATTGTTTTACTTTTATTGTTTTTAGGCATGTTTCTAAGAAATTTCCGAACTACCTCAGTGTTATCATAAAGATAACTGAAGATTTCAGTGAGGTTGAATTTGATGAAAATGATCATTTGTGTGAACCTCAAGAGGATATTCCTGAACCATATGTTCATGTCGTTTTGCTGCTCATATTTTTGCTAAAATAAAAAATGTTTTCTTCTATTGTTGTCATTCTTCCGCGACAAAAGTCACATTCTCGAAAGTTGTTTGGTGCAAAACTTACATTTTCCCAAAGCACGCAGCAAAACTCGCATTTTCCCAACAAAAAATTACAATACCATGAATTTGGTTGTCTTCAACTAAGATTTCAGTATTTTTTAATACTTTTTTATAACAAATGTGTTTAAAGAATACATAAGAAGTGCAAGCTACACATGTTTTGCGATTTCCCAAAAATTGTTCATTAGAAAGCAGACACTTTGTTTAGTAATTTGTAGAAGTTTTATAAGATTTTTCCAAGAAATCAATTTTTCAGGAATTTTTAAAATTAATCTAAGAAACGGTAAAACTTGGCATATTAGCATCAATAGAAAATATCTCAAGAACTTAGAGTGATTGTTCAAAACGGGCTTGTTCATTAGAAAGCAGACACTTTGTTTAGTAATTTGTAGAAGTTTGATAAGATTTTTCCAAGAAATCAGTTTTTCAGGAATTTTTAAATGTAATCTAAGAAACGGTAAAAGTTGGCATATTAGCTTCAATAGAATATATCTCAAGAACTAAGAGTGATTATTCAAAACGGGCTTGTTCATTAGAAAGTAGATACTTTGTTTAGTAATTTGTAGAAGTTTGATAAGATTTTTCCAAGAAATCAATTTTTCAGGAATCTTTAAATATAATTTAAGAAACGGTAAAAGTTGGCATATTCAATAGAAAATATCTCAAGAACTAAGAGTGATTTTTCAAAACGGGCTTGTTCATTAGAAAGCAGACACTTTATTTAGTAATTTGTAGAAGTTTGATAAGATTTTTCCAAGCAATCAGTTTTTCATGAATTTTTAAATGTAATCTAAAAAAAGGTAAAAGCTGGCATATTAGCTTCAATACAACATATCTCAAGAACTAAGAGTGATTTTTCAAAATGGGTTTGTTCATTAGAAAGAAGATACTTTATTTAGTAATTTGTAGAAGTTTGATAAGATTTTTCCCAGAAATCAGTTTTTCAGGAATTTTTAAAATTAATCTAAGAAACGGTAAAACTTGGCATATTAGCATCAATAGAAAATATCTCAAGAACTAAGAGTGATTTTTCAAAACGGGCTTGTTCATTAAAAAGTAGATACTTTGTTTAGTAATTTGTAGAAGTTTGATAAGATTTTTCCAAGAAATCAATTTTTCAGGAATCTTTAAATATAATCTAAGAATCGGTAAAAGTTGGCATATTAGCTTCAATACAATATATCTCAACAACTAAGAATGATATTTCAAAACAGACTTGTTCATTAGAAAGTAGATACTTTGTTTAGTAATTTGTAGAAGTTTCATAAAATTTTTCCAAAAAATCAATTTTTCGGGAATTTTTAAATGTAATCTAAGAAACGGTAAAAGTTGGCATAAGAGCTTCAATAGAATATATCTCAAGAACTAAGAGTGATTTTTCAAAACGGGCTTGTTCATTAAAAAGTAGATACTTTATTTAGTAATTTGTAGAAGTTTGATAAGATTTTTCCAAGAAATCAATTTTTCAGGAATTTTTAAATGTGATCGAAGAAACGGTAAAAGCTGGCATATTAGCTTCAATACAATATATCTCAAGAACTAACAATGATATTTCAAAACGGACTTGTTCATTAAAAAGTAGATACTTTGTTTAGTAATTTGTAGAAGTTTTATAAGATTTTTCCAAAAAATCAATTTTTTAGGAATTTTTAAAATTAATCTAAGAAACGGTAAAACTTGGCATATTAGCATCAATAGAAAATATCTCAAGAACTAAGAGTGATTTTTCAAAACAGGCTTGTTCATTAGAAAGCAGACACTTTGTTTAGTAGTTTGTAGAGGTTTGATAAGATTTTTCCGAGAAATCAATTTTTCAGGAATTTTTAAATGTAGTCTAAGAAACGGTAAAAGTTAGCATATTACCTTCAATACAATATATCTCAAAAACGAAGAATGATATTTCAAAACGGACTTATTCATTAGAAAGTAGATACTTTATTTAGTAATTTGTAGAAGTTTCATAAAATTTTTCCAAGAAATCAATTTTTCAGGAATTTTTAAATGTAATCTAAGAACCGGTAAAAGTTGGCATATTAGCTTCAATACAATATATCTCAAGAACTAAGAATGATATTTCAAAACAGACTTGTTCATTAGAAAGTAGATACTTTGCTTAGTAATTTGTAGAAGTTTCATAAAATTTTTCCAAGAAATTAATTTTTCGGGAATTTTTAAATGTAATCTAAGAAACGGTAAAAGTTGGCATATTAGCTTCAATACAATATATCTCAAGAACTAAGAATGATATTTCAAAACGGACTTGTTCATTAGAAAGTAGATACTTTGTTTAGTAATTTGTAGAAGTTTGATAAGATTTTTCCAAGAAATCAATTTTTCAGGAATTTTTAAATGTAATCTAAGAAACGGTAAAAGTTGGCATATTAGCTTCAATACAATATATCTCAAGAACTAAGAATGATATTTCAAAACGGACTTGTTCATTAGAAAGTAGATACTTTGTTTAGTAATTTGTAGAAGTTTGATAAGATTTTTCCAAGAAATCAATTTTTCAGGAATTTTTAAATGTAATCTAAGAAACGGTAAAAGTTGGCATATTAGCTTCAATACAATATATCTCAAGAACTAAGAATGATATTTCAAAACGGACTTGTTCATTAGAAAGTAGATACTTTGTTTAGTAATTTGTAGAAGTTTGATAAGATTTTTCCAAGAAATCAATTTTTCAGGAATTTTTAAATGTAATCTAAGAAACGGTAAAAGTTGGCATATTAGCTTCAATACAATATATCTCAAGAACTAAGAATGATATTTCAAAACGGACTTGTTCATTAGAAAGTAGATACTTTGTTTAGTAATTTGTAGAAGTTTGATAAGATTTTTCCAAGAAATCAATTTTTCAGGAATTTTTAAATGTAATCTAAGAAACGGTAAAAGTTGGCATATTAGCTTCAATACAATATATCTCAAGAACTAAGAATGATATTTCAAAACGGACTTGTTCATTAGAAAGTAGATACTTTGTTTAGTAATTTGTAGAAGTTTGATAAGATTTTTCCAAGAAATCAATTTTTCAGGAATTTTTAAATGTAATCTAAGAAACGGTAAAAGTTGGCATATTAGCTTCAATACAATATATCTCAAGAACTAAGAATGATATTTCAAAACGGACTTGTTCATTAGAAAGTAGATACTTTGTTTAGTAATTTGTAGAAGTTTGATAAGATTTTTCCAAGAAATCAATTTTTCAGGAATTTTTAAATGTAATCTAAGAAACGGTAAAAGTTGGCATATTAGCTTCAATACAATATATCTCAAGAACTAAGAATGATATTTCAAAACGGACTTGTTCATTAGAAAGTAGATACTTTGTTTAGTAATTTGTAGAAGTTTGATAAGATTTTTCCAAGAAATCAATTTTTCAGGAATTTTTAAATGTAGTCTAAGAAACGGTAAAAGTTAGCATATTACCTTCAATACAATATATGTCAAAAACGAAGAATGATATTTCAAAACGGACTTGTTCATTAGAAAGTAGATACTTTATTTAGTAATTTGTAGAAGTTTAATAAGATTTTTCCAAGAAATCAATTTTTCAGGAATTTTTAAATGTAATCTAAGAAACGGTAAAAGCTGGCATATTAGCTTCAATACAATATATCTCAAGAACTAAGAATGATATTTCAAAACGGACTTGTTCATTAAGAAGTAGATACTTTGTTTAGTAATTTGTAGAAGTTTGATAAGATTTTTCCAAGAAATTAATTTTGCAAGAATTTTTAAATGTAATATAAGAAACGTTTGATAAACCCTGTATAACGAGCAATACTTGGGCGGCCGACGTCTTCGAAGTCGGCCGAGATTATTTCTTCCATAAATTTCAAGTAGGGTAGACTTGGATTCACGCTCTGAATCCCGAGTGATAGTGTGGAGCAACTTTCTTCTATAACATTTTGTCATATCTCAAACAGTAGTCGAGATATCTGTTGAGACAACTAAAATCAAACACACTGTATATT